AATACAACTTCTAATTTCCCAAAAGGAATAAAAAACTGCATTAATTCCCATAAAAAATGTAAATACTTGACTGTAAGTAAATTGATATCTTTAGAACTGCATTTATGTGGCTAAACAGAGAGATGGTGGTGAGTCAGTGCTACTTCTGTCTGATGCAGAGTCTGAAAACACTGTGAAACTCTGTCACACTGAAACCTGTAACAGGACATCTGGCCAGTTTCACTGTTTACACAAAGTAGTTTTATTGGCTGTGATTTAAACTTTCTTTGGAGAACATGATTCAGAAAAAGCAGTACCTCAAATATGTCTCCAATATTTAATTTCTGAATTTACTCCTGAAAGGCAACTTAAACAGTGCCTTTATCTGTGGTGGTGTTTGCAGGGGTCCTAGGACCAGGGAAGAGATGAGGATCTGACTCCGTGTTTCAGAAGGCTTGATTTATTATTTTATTATATATGTTATATTAAAACTATACTAAAAGAACAGAAGAAAGGATGTCATCAGAAGGCTGGCTAAGAATAGAAAAGGAGTGATAGCAAAGGCTTGTGTCTGACTGAGACAGTCTGGACAGCTGGACTGTGATTGGCCATTAATTAGAAACAAGCACATGAGACCAATCACAGATGCACCTGTTGCATTCCACAGCAGCAGATAATCATTGTTTACATTTTGTTCCTGAGGCCTCTCAGCTTCTCAGGAGAAAATATCCTAAGGAAAGGATTTTTCATAAAACATGTCTGTGACATTTATCCAGAGGGATTTTTTCTGACTGTGAATATCAGAAAGCCCGGGGTGAGAATGATCTGTCAGGAGCAGGAGCCCACTTGTGAAGGTGCCAGTGTTGAGGGCGTTGCTCCTTGCCCAGTGCTGGAGTAGGAGTGCTGGGATGCTCCCACCTCCTGCCTGCTCCCTGCCAGTCCCTGCCTTGCAGCTGCTTCATTCATTCAGGTTTCCACTCGGCTGAGCTGTCCCTTGGTTACCACCCCTAGCAACTGGCCAAGTGTCGATCAAACTCCTTCCCTTCTTCCCTGGCTTGGCAGGAGAGCATCTGGCGCTGCCTGCCATGGCAAGCAGCAAGGCCCTGGAACCTTGCATCGTTTGAGAGAAACATCTGTCTGTGAGACACTGGGGTGTCTGTGACAGCTCTGCTTCTCCCCAGGCACAGGAAATGTCTCTGTAAACACAACATTTCTGGTCAAGCTCCCTGTTACACACCCTGAGTGACAGCCAGCTCCTGGCTCTGCCCAGTGAGTTGTTCACTCATGGCTTTGTGCTTCAGGGTGTCCCAGCTGGGACCTGGTTTGGGCATTCCATTAAGTTTTGTCGTGCTGGAGGCAGATCATTGTGGGAATAGGAGGAGGCACCACTGTTCACAGCATAGTTTTATCCTCTTTTTATTCTATATCAGTTGCCTCCCACCAAGATCCATCTTCCTGCTTAGCTTTACTCTCTGCTTGTTTCCCTGTGGCAGACTTACCCAGGCCAGACATCAGTGTTATCAAAGGTAATTTGGTAATAATTAGGTACCCATGTTAATAGCCTTAGTGGGGTCAATTAAGCTTGGGAGGGAGCTGATAAGTGATTCACTTTGGTTACTGTCACTCATAAAATTGCCTCTAATGCTGATTAAAAAAACCCCAACAAGATAATTTCTGCTTTCTGTACAGTAGAATGTGGCAGGGCTCCCAAACAAATGTCTGCAGCAGACAAAAATTCTGGTTTGGGTTTAAAAGCACTGAATTACTGAGTCAGGATTTTCTGCTGGGCTTTGATTGACACCATACTGGGACCCTGCAGGTGAACTCTTTCTGATTCTGGATGCAAAGTGAAGACATCCTTTAAAATCATGGCAAAGCACAAAGCAGGTTTTAGTGCAAATTGTGTGTGAATGATGCTTTTATTTCCTACAAGATGCAGAACCAGGTTTTATCAGGTTTGCAGAGTAATGTTACTGAGGACACGCAGACTTTTGATGTGAGATAAATGTCAAAAGGATGACATGAAAGGACATTTGCTGCAGGAATGTAAGAACCTGAATTATGGCAAGACTGCTGCATATGCAGTTTTAGAAAAGCTGCAATTTTTGAAGCTTCAGCATAAAAGAGTTGGTAGATAGCCTCTAGTTGTAAAGTGCTACCTCCAGCCTTTCATGGCGATATTTCATGTCAGTAAACACGCACGTGATGCGTTTTGATGACTGGAATCCAGTTCCTACTGGAATTGGAAGCAACTTTTGCTGCAGTTTTGCTGGCTGTGCTACATTTTCACTGCCAAGAGGAGATGTCTTGTGATCAAAAGAAAACTCAAACAAAACCTTCTTTCCTGCCATAACCTCTTAATTTTAAATCTAGCACTTGTCTACAGAACATCCTGAAAAGCAAACTATGGCTATTTAAAACCACGTAAATTATGAAGCATGGAGAGAATCAAACTCTAGTATTTCTGCCAACGTGCTGCATTACTATTTTTTTCTAAAGTACGAAGAAATTTAGTACAAATATAGAGCTTCAGTTGGTCTCTGATTTCGGTACTTGATCAAGGAGAGAATTTCTACCACTTTCACTTGATTCTGACTCTGGATCTTGTGAAGAACATCCACTTGTCCTAATGTGTTATTCACATTTATATTTTCATGTGAACTCACGATAATTTTGGTTTAAGACACGTTTGTCTGGAAAAAGGGCTAAGGTTGCCATGCTTTGTGGCTTGTAACTGTACAAGTTGAATGAGAATAATTTTGTGTCTTTCTGATTTTGCTCTGACTTCATTTTCTCCCACACATTTTACCCATCAAATTCAAGTGAAGTGCATTGATGTTATGCCAAGAAATATTTGTACTTTTAAACTTTTCCTTGCTTTCCTTAGATCTTAACATATCTTTCCTTCATTTTACTGTAAAGATTTTACATACTGTTTTTAGCGCATTGAAGTGAATTAAATTGAGAAAAATGGTTCCTTGATCTTGCTGAATTTGCTGCTTGGTTCATAAGCAAATACAGGAACAATTCCCTGTCAAGCTGTCTCTTAGTTATCTGGAAATATCTTTCTCTCTTTTCCTAAGTAATAAAATGTGTTTATCACTTAAAAAGCATGTTTATACTTAAGGTTTAAAATCTGCTTGGTATCAAAAATTCTTTCATTTGAGTACCATGGCTGCTGTCTAGCAAGCTGCCTGTCACTGCTGAATTCCACCTCTTGCTGGAATTTTACTGCTAATTAGGGGTAACATCAGAGAGAAGTATTACCACTTGCTTACAATGCAGAGAAAACCTCAGAGCTGTGCACAAATGTTGCTGTTATGAACCAGGAGCCAGCCAGGTTGCAGAATTGGAAGTTAAAGAGAGAAGATTGGTACAGCTTTGCTGTGGGTTTCCTAGTGCTGTTTGCCAGGGAGACTCATGGGCTGCATTTCAGGGCTGCACAGAGGAGGCTGAGGGCCAGCTTCTGATGTGTCATCCATGCTGAGAAACTGTTTCTGTCTGGAGGGGCTTCTGGAATAAAGGTTGGCATGCCAGTGTTTAAAATACTAATTTTCAGATGGATGGTATTGAGGTGTGCACTTGTGTCCAACCTCCTTGATCACAGAATCCCAGAATGCCTTGAGTTGGGAAGGACCTTAAAGTCACCCAGATCCACTCCTTGCCACGGGCAGGGACACCTTTCACTATCCCCAGCCCCATCCAACCTGGCCTTGGACACTGCCAGGGATGGGGCAGCCACAGCTTGGGTGTAAAGTCTTCAATTTCAGGGATTTCTGCATTAGTTTGTTTTGGTTACTGGTAAATGAAGTTGCCCATTCAATTTCCTAGGCTGAGTGCAGAAACAAAATCTTATGCTTGTTACATGCCAAGATACTGCTGACATTAACTGTACTTCCTACACTCCCTTAGACCATTGCAGCATTTAAGTCTTCCTTTGCATCATTCTTCATACGTGGAGAGGCACAAACCGGCAAATAATTTTTCTTGGTCATCAGCTCAGAAATTTGCATGGAGTTTTTAATTTCTCATGTCTGACACTCTTGGAGACAGTCCTATATCCAAAAGAATCCTACAGCAAGATTTTTTTTTTCAATTTTTTTTAAGCTGCACCCTGTAGATGCAGATGTTTCTATGAGGAAGGCCAGCCCAGCTTATGCCTTGCACATACATCAGGAAATCTGCAGTGCCACTAGAGAACAGGATCTGTCAGAGCTGCAAAATGGGGCCAGAAAAGACAATTCCTTGGTATTCAGGGCAAAAAGAGGAGAAGAAGGAAAAGGGAGAAGCCAGCAAAGGCAAAATTGAATTCCCTCACACCCGTTAGAGATGTTTTTCTTTTTAAATCTATTGAAATGAGAATTCAGATCTGTGTTCAACAATCAGGAAATAAATGAAAAAGAAAATTATTAATTTAGAACTCAATGTATTTAGACATTTTAAACTCTATACATAACTTTGCCAGTCTCTCTCTTTCAGTGTGATTTTTGGTGCCTTAGTGGAACCTGAATATTGGTAGCTCTTGGTCCTTGTCTCTCTCGTGTACTTTGCATTTCAGCTCCTGTTTTTATTGCTCAGGTAAGGAGCAAGGCAGGAGCAATTAAAGGGAGATAATATCTTCAATGTGTCTCTCCTGCAGCATTCCCCACACACCAGAACAGCTCCCAGAGCTTTGGGGATGCTGTGCTTAATGTTCACTGCTGCCTTGGACTGCCACCATGTGAAGAGCAGCAGCTCTTCCAGCAGCCTCCTGAGACTGCCACCATGCCAGCATTCCTGGGAAATGGGCAGCTGGGGGACTGGCAGTGCTCTTACAAACAGATTAAGATCTCATTTCTTGCTGTTTCAGTGTTGTATTGGTGTTTCAGATACAATATCTCTATTGCAGAATGAAAGTAACAGAATCACTCCACTAAGTGAAATGAAAATAATCTGCCTGATGTTTGTCAGTGATGTGACATGTTTTCCTTCTTAGCAAGTGATGACAACATATTAATTGTGCCTATTTTACAACCCTTTAGGTGGCTATAATAGCGGGAAATTTTGAGCTTGCTGAATACATCAAGAATCACAGGGAAGCTGATATTGGTAAGCAAAATATTTACAGACTCTGAAAATAAGTTGTGCTTGTTTGTGCCAGGGTTTTGCAAAGATGTTAAAACTGATTCTATGTGAGATACAACCACAGGGCTGCTGACATTTCAGGGAGGTTTGAAAAGTAACTCTTGTAAAAAAATGCAGATGGGGAAAAAGCTGAAATATTTTCAAAAATATACTCTGAAGAGGAAAATGTGGTAAGTGGTAGGTGCTTTCTAAGTATAAATCAGTCAGTTTGTAATAAACTAAATACACATCCACATCCCTTCCAGACTGGCTCTTGCAAGTTGTTTTGGCCTCGCCTAAAGCAGCTCCCAAATAGGAATAATTGATCAAAAGATGAAAATGGAGAAAGATGCTTCTCTATAATTAAATTAATATATGGTAGAAGCCAGCTCCCCATATTCATGAAAATGTTCCCTCTCACTGAGTTTGGTGGGATTAAGGGCCTTAAGGACCCCTGACAAAAAATTGGAGGCTCTTTCAATATCTTTTTATGCAGAGGAATTTGCCATTAAAATAAAAGCCAGTTTGATACAAGTGATGCCTAATACAGTTTAACAAAATGGGTTAAAATGCTTTAATTCAAGTTAATTTAAGTTCCAGAGAAATATCCTGAAGTTGAACAAAAAAAGGCATTTCTTTTGCAGCAGGAGGCTCTGTGTACTCACCTGCACTGATTTAACTCAACGAGGCAAATCTCTGACTTGAGTATTTCATTTATATGGCAAATGAGGCCAGCTCACATGAAATATAAAACCAAGGATGTGGATTAAAGACTGCTTTCCCTTTCCCTTCCTTGTTGCATATGATCTGCAGGGATATGGTCGAAGGTTCTGTGGTAATGTAAGTTCTTGTAGCACTTTCAGCTCTTGCAATGTGCACTGAGAAAACTGAGGGCAAAATGCACCAAAGTCATAACTTCTGCATAAAGGTTCAGAGACAGTCTGGAAGGGTTTTTTTTTTCCCTGGGATAATGGGGATGGTTCCTTTCCATGTAAGAATTCTTCATCAATCTATATTTATTAATAATCTGTAAAGCATAAATTAAAAATGAACTCGTTATTCTTATTAGGTTGAGCATCTTATTGTTGTTTATATTTACATATGGGTAATGGGGTTTTTTTGCTGGCTTGTAGGATTTGGTGATTTCTAGAAAAATTCTTAGAAAATACTTTCTATGGGAAGATTCTCCAATTTTTTCTGATGCCTCCATCTTTGCCACTGAAAAATAGAAATATTGGTGCTTCCATTATTCACTTGCCATTTTTACAAGATGGTGGCTTGAGCATGACTGTTTGAATTAATAGATTTGTCTTAAAGAGTAAACATTACATTATGTTATTTCCTCCCACCGAATTTAATTGAGCTGGACATTTGTCTTTTAAGTTTTATTACTTATGAAAAATGAAGTTGTTGAAATGTCTATTTTTGGAGTGTCTCCCAGTGGAGAAAAAAGAAGAGTAAATCAAAGAACCAAATCCTGAGCAGAAAACCTGAGAGCTGCTGTGATGATGAATGTGCAGAGTGATGTCAGCATTTCAGCTTCAGCAAGTTGGCTTTTGCTTCTTGTGCTTGTCTGGTTACCCACTGTGTTCCAATAATTTTGGATGCATTCCAAAATTTATCACTTGAGTAATGCACCTCCTTAGAGGCAGCAGAGGGGGAAGAGCTTGGGAAGTATCCTCAGGAAGATGAAGATTATTCATACTGTCAAGTCTCTTGAGAAACTTTTAATCACACATCTCTCAGAAAGTGTATTTTTGGTTAGATTCTGAATTTTGATATCAAAACCATTCATTAAAACTTGTTATTATTTTAAGTTCATTTAATAATCCAAATCTCTTTGCACTTTGTAATTATTTTAGACTCTGTTTTAGAAATAGAAAATTCTGGTTTACATCAGAGCCACTAAATATTTCTCCTACAGATGAAATCCCACCAAGATTTTTCTTCCTTCTTCTTTTAATTTAATTGTAAAGCACTTTCACATCAGATAGATGTGAAAATTGGGCATATATAAAATTAGCTTATTTGCAATAATCATAAGACTTCCAGCTGTTCTGGGAAACGAAGGAAAATATAAAAATTATTTTAGATCCAAAAAAGGTGAGAATAATAAGGACCAAAGGAGTAATGTGAATAAACATATAAAGAAAAAGCCTTACAAGAGATTCCTGTGGCTTTAGTCCAATAAAACCCCCCTGGCTGATTCTACCAGGAAAGTTCTTACTCTGGACTGGGATGAGGCTGTTTGGTAAGACTGAATCAAACAGAAAAGATAAAGGAATCCAAGGACAGAAAAAAAGAAATGCCCATAAAGGATTAAAAACAAGATCCAGATTTCATTGTATTTCTCTTTTATGAGGGAATCCCTTTTGTTTTCATGGCAGATGTTTGGAAGGTGGATAGAAATTGCCATATCATTTAAAATGTAATCCTATTTGAAACAAATTACAATAGTATTTTTCATAAAGCAAGAAACCCTATTACCATAAGGTACTTAGAAACTCGTTTAACAAGCAGTATGAAATGCTCAGTGTGGCTTCTCAGATTATTTCAATTCATCATACCCCCAAATTAGTTGGTTTTTGTTTTTTTTTTTGAAGAATAATGTCACCAGAGTAGCATATTTTAGTTATTAGTTATTTTGGAAGTCTTTGGGACCCAGAAGTGTATCCCAGCTCAGTGACTATTGTTGCCTCTTGTTTTCTGCTTTTAAGACCTTACACATACCCCTGATGTACAGCAGTTGCACACCACTAAAAATATTTAATAATAATAGTAATAGTGCCCCATTTAAACTTATTTTTTCTTTTAACTAACCATAGCACATTTATAATTTATTTAACTTTATGCATTTATTTATTGCAAACTAAGAGAAAGTAATGGATTAAAAGATGTGATGAATAGAAAAGTTAATCCCTGATTGTTTTCATCCAGCCTGCAGCTGTCTGTGAGTAAATGAGCACAGCAGATTTAGGAAGCATTTGCTGTACAGAATTTACTATGGCTTCTATAGGATGGAGGTACAAAACCCAATCATATATGTAAGAATTTTGAAGCTTTCATTACATACAGATATGCAGATATTAAGTATGTTGCAAGCTGATAATCCTTTGACTTGGATAACCTATTTTTAAATCTCTCTTTTGCCTTGGTTCTTTGTGATGGGATGAATTTTCAGACGGAGTAAATGACATGGGTTGTTCTTCTTCAAGTGAACAAGGTTTGTTTTCTATTGTGCATCTTGTCCTTCAGCAGCTCTGGAGCCAGGACTGATAGGATTCTTTTGTCTGGTTTTTTGTTTGCTTTAGGAAAATGAAGCACATTGAGCTGGTGTGTGAGTTTTTGGTAGTTGATTAGCAGACTAACTAATACTTGGATACTGTTGCTAGGCTTCAAGTCAGAGTTCCTGTATTCCTCTATAATTATGCAGAGAGATGTGTGTGTGTGATGGTTTGTCTGTGCTTTCACATGGGTGTTTTTATTTTGATAATTTTGAAAATCTGCTAATACAGTCTGTAGACACATTCCACAAAGAGAAATTGCTTTGAAATTAAACATTTTTCAAGTATGAGTAAAAATGTAGGTTTTTAAACTGGCATTGTGACTGTAAGCATAAGGAATGTGTATTTTATTGTGGAATAAGCAGAACAGGTATTTCAGAACACGAGGATATTAGCTGGTTTGTGGTAGAATTGCTTTTCTAACTAATTTTCTTTAATTAGATGAGAGTGATTGAGGTCAGCAATCTTGGTTTTTCAGCTGCAAGTGTTGCTATTAAATGCTGGCCAGCCTAAGGAATATTCTGTTTGTTTACTTATTTATTTGGGTTTGGGGAATGGTTCAGTAATTTTGATTTTCATCAATCAAATGCCTGCAGAATACTCCTCAAGCTGAGGGAAATCAGATTGAGACAGATAACATAAGAAAGAAGAAAAGGCAGCAAAGCAAAAGGAAAATCTACAAAACTGTGGCAGCATGCAGTGACTTGTTCTATTTTTATCACTTGTTATTTAATAGAAGCAAAAGGGACAGAAACATCTATTGTAGCCCTGTGCAGCTGTCATTTGGGAGTAGCATTACCTGTTTCAAATGTTAGTGAGCATTTAACATGGAAAAAGAACGATATCTATGTAATCTGGGTGGCAAAACCACTGAGGTGTGAATTTCCCACGTTTTAAGTGCATATTGTGTGGTAGAATGTCACAATCCTGTGTTCCTTTTGCAATTTCTTTCAAATATCTGTCTGAAACAAATAATTACTTCTGTGTTCATAGAAAAAACACTCCTTTGCATTTATGATGTTTAGGCTGGGTTACAAGCAAACAAATACTGATTGGTATGAAATAAATCTGTTGCTATTATTTCTCTGTTTTCCTCTGAATGGTTGCAAGAAATAGAATTTCCTGTACTCAGTCTTGCTATGTGGCAGCAAACAAATTGGAAAACTGGGAATTGTGTGTTAATGTAATTACATACTGAAATGTAGGGCAGAGCTTGAAAAACTTACCATGCTTTTCCTTTTCCCTTTGATCACAAGTTAGTTATTTCTGTGTGTGCATTGGTGCAAAACCGTACAGTAATTTGCTTTATTTCAAAGTTTAAACTTCATTTTCAGAAGCTGGTTGCTCTTGGTCTTTGAACTTGGGTGTACTCTATGCATATAACAAGGATTGCAGGCTGAGGTGTGCAAGTTCTGTGATGTGGCCATTTCTGAGGCTTACTTGAAATTCTGAGCAGGAAGGTGAGCAGGGAGCTGGTGCCATGTGTAAGTGCTGCTTTGAGTACAGCTGATTGCAGAATGCTCTGGCTGCTTTTGGGGACCAGCCTGCAGCCTGTCCTTGCCACCTGCCAGGTGGGCCATGACTGCCACAGCTACTCCTCCTAGGCTTTATTTTACAGACTGAACCAGAAGAGCTTGGCACTTGAGCCAAAAATAACCCACTGGAGGGATCCCAGGCTGCTCCCAGGGCCCTTGAGCTAGA